AGGGTCCTGCCACCCCGGAATCTCCGGGAAGCCCTGCTCGGCCCACACAGCCCGATTTAGGGAAGGAAACAGTAGGGTGAGAAGCGGACTTGGTCGCGCCCCTGCCGGGGTCTGTCTGGCGGCGGGAGCCTTGCCGGCTCTGCCCACCTGTGCAGCCAGCGGGTGCTGCTGTCTCCCCGTGGGCGGGAGACCCGGCCAGCGAGGCTACCCGCCTGCACACAGCAGGTTTCCCCTCTGCTGAGCCGAACCCACCCGGGAACGGCTCCTTTGACTGGAGGGTGGCCCGCATGCTCCCTGGGGCCGGTGAGGCCAGGGCGGCCCTCAGGACCAGGGCCCGGGCTTTGCAATAATGCATCAAGAGCTGGGAAGGGTCCTACTCCTCTCCACGCCCAGGGGGTGGGTGATGATGGAGCAACTGGCAAAGCTGGTTCTCAGGGACCTGGACCGGCCATGCCAGCGGGCGCCACCAGAGGGCGCCTCGGGCAGGTGCGCGCAGAGCCTCCAGGTGAGGCAGGACGCCGGCCAGGGCATCAGGGACACGGGCTCCCATCCGCTCTGGACAGCTCCTCCCTCTTCTGCTTGGCACCAGGGTCCGCTGGTTCTCGAGGGCGGTTCCCGGGGGAGGCTGACCCAGCCCGGGAGGCTCAGTCAGAGCCGCAGGGGCCCAGGGATGGGTGAGGGGGGTTGGGACGGCGGGGGAGGTCGTCTGCACCTGAGGTTGGGCCTGAAGCTGGTTCTGGCCACACAGTGGCCCTTGTCACACGCCTGGCCGAGGCTTCCAGGGCATCAAGTGGGCACCCAGGGCAGTGCCTGCGGGGGGTGCCGAGCGGCCAGCCTTCCCGCGGGCAGCAAGAGAACAAGGGGAGAGTGTGACGGGGGCAGCCAGAGGGGACCCCCAGGAGCTCGGGACTCGACTGATCTGCCGCGCTCCGCTTCCTCTTGGCCCAAGCCGCGGCCGTCACCAGGACGACCTTCCGGTGCCCGCCCCACAGCGGCTGAGGGCCTTTCAAGGTGTCCGTGGCGACGAGGACATGAAGTACCCAGTGCTCCCGGATAACTCAGTGGGAGCCACGACCTGATATGTGGCAGCTGCTGCACAAGGCTTCAGCCTCGTCATGAGCCCGTTAGACCCTCTGGACACACGAGAAGACGAAGGCGCGGGACGGCCAAGCGACTAGCCTAAAGTCACACGGCAGGAAGGAGACAGCTGGACACGACCAGCACTTTGGCGGCTACCTACTGAGCCAGGACCTTGGGACAGAGGGGTCTGTGGGGGCCCGGGGTTCTCCCCGCCACGCCTGGGGAGTGCCCCCAGCCCACCTCCAGGTTCTGCGAGAGACAGAAAGCGCTCTGGGGCTGCCTGGGCCACCCCGAGGCTAGGAGCCGAGTCTTCCGTCCAGAGGTCCCGTCTGTCCCGGGAAAGTGCTGGGCCCTGAGTTGCCACGCCCTTGAGCTGCCAGGGGATGCACCGCGGTGCCCACACACAGGCCCTCCATCACTGGGGCGTGTGTGTGGCCACTTTCACATCTGAGCAGGTGTGGAAGCAGACAGCCTGCATGCGGCTCAAATGCCACCATCATCCTGGCGGCCCCAGGAGCCAGGGCACCTGGCAGGTTCCCACTGGCACAGGGGGGTCCTGGGGGCAGGCCTCCCGCGGGCTCCTGTCAGGACGCAGCGGCTGTCACAGATGAGTGAACGGTCCTGAGCAGATGGACAGGGGCCAGGCAGGCGCTGACGGGCTGCCGAGGGAAGGACGGGAATCGGCCGGGAGGGCGGGGCAGGCTGGGCCGGGACCACAGCCCTCCCTGACGGGGACAGGCAGCCAGCCGGCATCAGCACTGAAAGCCTTGCATCCCAGCAGTCTCTCTCCCGGGGCGACCGCAGCCGGGCGACAGGAAGCACCGGGCCAAGCGCCTGCCCCCAGGTGGACACAGAGCTGAGCACGGCTGCAGCCACTGTGGACCACGGGCTTGTTACACGCGAAGACCGCCACGCAGTCACGTGTTCCGTCTCGGGAGCAGCCAGGGAGCCACTGCGTCACGGTCCTCATCTCACAGTCGCCAAAGTGGATGCGCCAGGTGTAAGCGCGTGGCCCCGGAGGAGTCCTCCGGCGGGCACTCAGGACAGGCTGGGGCTGTGACCATCACACACGAGTGTGCACACAGGCACACACGCAGACACGCATGCACACCCAGACACAAACACACACACGGTCCATGCAGACGTGCATACCATCACACCCAACACACACGAGGCACACCCAGAGACGTCAGTGCACGCACACGGGCACACACGCACACACACACATGCACACACTTGGACATAAAAAGTACCGGAAAATGCACACGCACAAACACACGTGCATCTAATACAAACACAGAAATGCAGGCACACAGGCACCCAAGCACCCACGCACACAGTGCCAGACACACACAGACACACCAGTGCACACACGGATGCACACGGGCACACACGCCCCACGCGGGGACGTCAGGGACAGCCCGACGGGGCACTGCAGCATGTGATGCTGGCCTCTCTCCACAGCAGTTTTCTCTGCAGCTTTTCCAAGTCCCCGGCCACCCTGCCTTCAGGATCTTATTAGATTTCGTCCTGGAGGAAGGGGACCCACTCTCTTTAAAATTACAGCCATAATTCCAGCTAACCGTGTGAAGTGGAATTTGAGGCCTCAGGGGAACCCTTTAATTCAGCTTTAAGCGGCTCCCGGAACCTGGTGCTTCTCCCTGGGGTGACTCAGAGCGAGAATCTAGACCAGAGCCAGGAGGGCTCCCGGGTCTGAGGATGAGACGGCAGGGGGAGGTGTGCATGGGCCCCAGCGCCAAGGTGTGCCTGGGGGGTGCTGGCTCCCAGGGGGCAGGCTGGGACCCCGCCAAGGGGCCAGGAAACTGGGGTCCCCAAGGGCAGGTTCTCCCCACACCCGCACACCGCAGCCTGGACACCTGGCCTGCTGCTCCTGCTCACAGCAGTCGGCCTTCCCCCAGGGCCGCCTGGATCACTGACCCCTCCACCCAGACTCCTGGTCCCCCTCCCCAGCATCCCTGGTCGGAGCTGGGGGTGTGGCATCAGGAAGGACCCAGGCTGGCTAGAGGTACCGCAGGCAGGCTAGGCAAGGCCAACTCAATGGTGTGCGGCGGGACGGGGAACCGGGTCACCGGGCAGATGGCTGGACCAAAGGGGGCACTTGCCCCTCGCCAGCCACGGAGCCAGGCCAAACACACAGTGCGCCGGCTCTCCCGGGACCACCAAGGGTGAGGGCAGAGCTCAAGAAGGACAAAGTCTCACGACCTGCGCCGGCTCCAGGACCCGGCCTCAGTGCTCTAATCTGGGAAATGGGGACGCAGGGTCTTCCCTGGAGAACAAGGGGGGTGAGCCAAGGCACGTGGAGCAGCATGTCCATGCGACACTGCGGCGGGGGGCGGGGGTGAGAGGTCAGAGACAGCGCTGCTCCGACTAGCACTGAGGCCCTGGCCAAGAGTCCAATCCCAGGAGGTCTCAGCCTGGACAGACAAACGCTGGGGGCCACGCGAGGAGGGGGCGGGTGTGCCTGCGAGCTGGAGCTCTGGGTGGGACTGCAGCGCTCTGGCTGGCATAGGAGACGGAGCAGGGGAGAGCCCAGAGCCCCAGCGAGATGCCTGGGGGGGGGGGTTCATGCCAGGTCTGGCCTTTGCTGGCCTTATCTCCCTGTCTAGAGAGGGGACAGGAATGGGGTTGCAGCCCCTGGCTGCTTCAGAGTCTGCTGAGACGCCCCCTCCCCGTCCTCACCCCTGCCTCGTGGGCAGACAGATCAGGACCAGGCAGGGCTGTCACTGCACTGGCCGGGGCTTGTCATACCCTGGGCTCTGCCAGGGCGCCTCGGCCACGAACGCGGGCGCTCACTCAGGCTCAGGACCGTGCGCGCTGAAGCCTGGTCCAGGGAGAAACCCAAGTGTCCAGCAACAGAGGGACAGATAAAGAGGGTGCGGCACACACCACACGCAACAACACACGACTCGGTCATAAAAGAGAACGAAGCAACACCATCTGCGGCAACCTGGTTTTTTTTTTTTTTAACCTCTCAGTCCTGTCTAACTCTTTATGACCCCGTGGACTATACAGTCCATGGAATTGTCCAGGCCAGAATACTGGAGTGGGTAGCCTTTCCCTTCTCCAGGGTATCTTCCCGACCCAGGAATCGAACCAAGGTCTCCGGCATCGCAGCAGCCTGGATGGACCTAAAGATGATCACAGCGAGTAGAGTCGGTCAGACAGGCAGACGTCGTACGGTATCACCTACACGTGGAAGCTGAAATACGGCACGAGTGAACCTGCCTGTGAAACAGACTCACAGACAGAGTGGACTTGTGGTTGCCAGGGGCAGGGGAGGGGTGGAGGGGGAACCTGGGGCTCGTGGAGTGAACTAGCAGACAGAACGGATGAACAGCGAGGCCCTCCAGCGTAGCAGCGCGAGGACCTACACCCAGTCTCCTGGGATGAACGTTAGTGGAGAAGAACATGCAGAAAGAATGTCTATAACTGAGTCGCTGTACGGTACGGCCGACACGACACGACGCTGTAAATCAACTCTATTCCAAACAAACCCCCCCCCCCACGGCCCCTGGAGGAGCTCGCAGCCCAGAGCGGGCCGGTGCCCTTAGCGCCTTCTCCATCCACACTTCACTTTTAAGACCCCGAAGCCGACGCACAAGGAAATGAAACAGCCCCGGGCACCCGCCACAGCCCAAGCCGCCCCAGGAGCCCAAGGGGCACCCACCCTTCCTGGTGCAGTCACTGCTCTCAGGGGGCAGTCTGAGCCGGGGCAGAGCGGGGCTCTGACTTTCACGCGTTCTCAGCATCCGCGTTGGAATCAAGCAGGCATCCTGCTCAACCTCTGGTGGCACCCCAAGGTCCAGAATCCAGGGCACCTAGCACAGAGGTGCCCCTCTCCCCGGTCCCCCTGGACCCGCTCCCCTCCCATGCCCCCCACCGCCCAGGTCGCTCCTTACCCGACGTGCCAGGGCTGCCGGGGCCTCTTGGCATCCTCGCCGGCTCCGCCCAGCCTGTTGAGCGAGGGGGACCGGCTACGGGGCCCGGGGGTGTAGCTCCCGAGGGTCTTGGCGGCCCCGTCGGCCTTGCTGGGCGTCTGCTGCAGCAGCTGGGGCGAGAGGCTGAGGTGGGAGGCGGCCGCGCAGACGGCCCAGTCAGGCGCGCCGGCGTTGAGGTTGTTGTCGCTATTGGAGCGCAGCAGGAGCCGGGGGGCGGCCAGCGTGCTGGGGGGCCGCCGCCTGCGGTTGGAGTACGCCGGGGCCTCTCGGAAGGGCACTGGGTCAGAGAGAGCGGGAGACTCGGGTGAGCGCGCGTGGCACCGTCATCCAGGAGGGGTGCCCGTCCCCCGCCCCCCCAGCTGCCCAGGACATGGACGCTGTGAGCTCTGTGCTGAGCCCCCGAGGGCCCCCGTGGGTGCAGAGCTCGCCCCAACACAGAAGCAGACACGGGTGGATGCGGAGTGCGCCCCCCTTGCACGGAGGCTCAAGCCAGCGCTTGAGATGGAAGGGGCTCGGGTCCCACTTCCATCCACGTGGTGCCCACACTTCCAGTGGCCCAGAGACCGTGGACGGACTGGCTGCCCCGGCTCACAGCAAGGACAGGCGGACACGAAGGCAGCCATGGAGTTCCTCCTCCTCCTCGCCACGACCTGCACTGGGGGTTGGATCGTGTCCCCCCGAATCCGTGTGTTGGAGGCCTGACCCCGAGCATCTCAGAATGTGGCAGTCTTTGGAGACGGGGTCTTTTAAGAGGTGATTAAGGTAAAATGGGGTCACTGGGGGGCCCTAATCCCACAGGACTGGGGTCCTTGTAAGAAGACGAGGTCAGGACACGGACAGACAGAGGGACTGCCCTGTGAGGACAAGGGCCGGCCGTCGGCACGCCCAGCAGGGAGGCCTCAGGAGGACCAGCCCCGCCCACACCCGGGTCTGGGAGTCCAGCCTCCAGGACTGGAGACAGGGAATGTTTGAGCGCCCCGTCCGTGGGGCTGTCACAGCAGGGAGGGCACGTGCATGCGGCTCCGTGGCTCTCCTGGTGGGAATCCATCTGCCTGAAACCCAGTGTGGTGCTTTCTCCACCCATCAAACCGGGACTTGGCAGCAAGCATCGAATAGGAGGTGGTGGACACACCTCGCCACGCTTTTCATGAAGCTCTAGACCAGAGGCAAGCCCCTTGCCCTGTGATGTCAGCCCAGCCAGGGGCTCAGAACGAGGACACGGTCCTTGGGGACTGTGAGGGCTGGAACCCACGTGGTCGGCACCCCGGGTTTCTCCGAGGGCTGGAGCCAGAAACAGAGTGTCCTTGCCAAGTGTGTGCGTGCTCCATCGCTCAGGCGTGTCCGACTCTTTGTGACCCCATGGACTGTAGCCCACCAGGCTCCTCTGGCCTGGGATTCTCCAGGCAAGAATATCGGAGTGGGCTGCCACGCCCTCCTCCAGGGGACCTTCCCGACCCAGGGATGGAACCCAGGCCTCCTCCATCTCCTGCGCTGCAGCCAGATTCCTCGCCCACTGGGCCCCCAGCGAAGCCCGTCCTTTGCAAGAAGAGGCGTCTAAAGAGACGCAAGCCTCCGGGCCGCAGGGGCGCAACACAGCAGCCGCGACATGCAGCAACGAACACGCGCCTCCTCGCACTGTCCCTCCCAACGCTGGACTGCAGAGCGGCAGGAGGACGCACGCCCTCCCGGGGGGCTGCTGGGACGTGGCAGCAACGAACACGTGCCTCCTCGCTCCGTCCCTCCCAACACTGGACTGCAGAGCGACAGGAGGACACACGCCCTCCCGGGGGGCTGCTGGGACGTGAGAAGACCAGCGTCTCCGAGGAGAAAGGCGAGCTCAGGACCGAGTCCCGCATGGCCCGCCGCCCCGGCTGCCCGAGGTCAGAGGCGGTGAAGTTCGTCATGGAAACCAAGGACAGCTGCACCCCACCCAGAACCTGGGCAGCCCCCTGCTGCCGGCCACGCTGGAGGGCCGCGCTCACGGGGATGGAGGTGGTGCTGGCAGAGCTCCACCGAGACAGCTGCGACCCAGCGCACCCTTCGCTGCCTCCCTGGGAGGCAGGACCACCCTGGGAAAGCAGACGGCAGCCAGCCCGGGGAAGCTGCATGGAAATGGCACGAGGCTTCCCAAGGACGCACATTTGGAATTCACATCTTGGCTCATCATGAGAACTTGGAAGTGACCCGCGGGAGAGGTCACGCTCTTTCCAGCAGAGATGCCAACCTGCTTCCTCTGAAGCCCGTCTGTCAGGGCAAGGCACTCGCATCTACTACAAACTGTGCAAAGCAAAGGATCTCTTCAGCGCCAGCCCGGCCGGGAGGGAGACAGGGGGCAAGAAAGGCGTGCTCCGTGGACCCCCATCTCTGGGGCCGGAGAGGCTGCCCTGTCCAGGGCTTGGCCCCTGGTGAATCAGTCCAGGTGTTCTGGGGGGAAGTCTATTTCAAGGAAAAGTCCCGAGTTTGTCTTTGCCGGTCACTGGGGAGACTAGCCCCGTGTCACTCCCGCTGTCAGCATCAGACAGTGGCCAGAAGACTTCTGGAAGGACTGAGGGTGACTGGAGCCCCGCCCGGCAGAGGGGCAGGGGGGACAGGAGCCCTCACTAGGACGGCGGATCCAGGATCTCAGAGAGCGATGCTCTTCCTGCCGAGATTGTCAGTGGCAGGACTACAGCACCTGGAGGAAGCCAGCCTCTTGAGCACATGCTCACAACAGAGCCCCCTCGACTTCCTGGCTCATCCTTCCTGCGCCCACCTGAGGACAAGCCAGAGCTCACGCGGATGGAGGGGAGGGGTCACCCCAGCTCGGAGGGGACTCCCCCAGACCAGGAAACACTTGCACTCCATGATGCGAACTCATGCTGAGGCTCCCAGCTTCCCTGACCTTAGAGGCAGTTATATTTTTCTGATGGATATAAGCGAGTACAAACGCCCTTGCTGGAAAGTGATGGAATTTGGGGGGAACCCTGCCAATAGCTACGACAGACTCCTGAGGGGAAGCACAGTCTAGGGGAGAAGGGAACAGGGTGAGCAGAACACCATGCCCCCAACAGAAACACCCATGCTGAGCACACAGTACCAAGATCAAAGTCCCAGAAGGTGAATCTGGGCTCATCGAGTAAGCAAATGTGCTCAGACAAAGGCTGTCTTTCTGTATGTTCCTGAGAACCAGGCGGAAGAGGTCTTTCAGACAGTGGCAGCAATTCACGGGGCGGGGGCGGGGGGCAGCTGCCCTTGGAAGATTAAGGGATGAAAGAGCTGGGACTTCTGCAAATACGTTCTGCCCCAAGGAGCCAGTGAACCACTCAGCTGGACTCTCATAGGTGACGTTTCGGTGAACATTCTAATGAACGCTATCTCACTGAATTACCAAGATTCACATTAAGTTCATTTCCTGTGTGGTGTAATTGGAAATCTCTTCCATGTTTCTTTTCTGGCTTGGGCTGGGAATTATCTCCTTAATTCCTCTAACCTCACATCTTCATAAACCTCCCGGTTTCATAAAATGAGAGCTCCCTGTCTTAACCAACTAACCAGAACCCGCCGTGGAAATGTTGTTGCTGTTTTATTTTTTTTAATGTGCAAAGGGTTAGAAATAACTCTTTTCCTGTCTGAAAATGATTAATATTCCACCCAACTGTTTCCTTCTTTCAGACAATCTGCAAACTCTAAGTGGGTGGATATTTTCTTAGCTTAGCCTTCCATGCATGTATTTATACGTTTCTTTTCCACAATACAAATTACCCAAGGTATGCAGAAAAGCAGATGCACTTTCAAAGTCTGCCACAGTGCATTTCCCACCCGCTCCCCGAAACCACAACCCGGGGATGGCCGAGGGACTCCGAGCGGCGGTTCTGAAAGCGCCCACCTGGCCAGGGCAGCCAGCGCCTGCCCTGGCCAGGGCAGCCAGCGCCTGCCCTGGCCAGGGCTGGGGCTCCTTGCTTCTGCCTGAGTGCTCAGCAGCCTCCAGGCAGCTGACAGATTACAGCCAAACTTCCTATTTTCCACAGGACTTAGTTCCTTAACAGTTAGGTTCTGGATGCACTAAGGATGCACAAGCTACATTTCTGCAAGGGGCTGGAGACTTGGGCGGGTGGGGGTGGGGGGGAATGAAACCGGCACCTTCAAGTGGGTTAACAGTCCAGACCAACTACAACAAAGCCCGATCGCCCACCAGAAGTAATTACTCCCTTAACACGGCAGGAGTGAATGAACCGGCAATTTTAGGAGGACCCGGAGTCCCCGGTTCCCCCCCACACCCTCGCCCGGGTCGGAAGCTGCTTGTTCCCATGCGCTCCGCGCCCTAAGGCTGGCTCTCCGCTTACCTTCCTTCTTGGTGAAGGCATTTAACAAAGACTTCATTTTCCCTCCGACTTTGGCAGCGGTCCGCTCATTATATAACCTTCTCGACTGGGAGGAAGGGAAGGGCAGCCCGGCCCCTGGGCGCCGGAGCAGTTTGGACCCGGGGAGCGGCGGCGGGCGTCTGGCCACTGCCTGCCTCCGAGCATAGCTGGGCAGGCCAGACCCAGCGCGCTGGTGACGGAGCCCACCCCATACTCGTCTGTCAGCTGGGAGCCAAGCGTGCGTAGACTGAGGCTGCTCTCAGAGCCCACGGCCGCTCCCCGCGCCCGTCATGTGAGCGGCGTTCCCCTGCTTTTGTGATCAGTACATCGGGGAGGAGGCTCGCAGGCGGGAGGCATCGGTGAGCCCCGAGCCCCGACCACCCGAGGGCGGGCGCTGGGGCTGGGGCTCCGGTCGCTCCAGCTCAGACCCGCCCGGGGCGACACAGCACAGCACCTGTGCTTTGCTGATTTTCATTCGAAAGAAAAAGCCAAGTTTTTCCTCGCTCTCTGCCGCCGCCGCTGCCGTTTGTCCGCCAGCAGACGTGGGGAGTCGGTCCCGGAGATAAAACGTCCCGGTTCCAGATAAGCCACGAGCCAGACCCGCGTTCACTGGGCGGTCAGGGCCGCTCTTCTGGAATCTCTGAACGTGACCCAGATTTCGGTTGGCAAGAATCAGACACAAGGACCCATTACTTCTCTGGCTCCCCCCCATGGAGGTAATGACCCTGGAGAAAACAGGATTTCCATCCCCCTTTCTAATTCTTTTTTTTTTTGGAAACAAAAGAGAGATGAAACAATTAAAATTGCAGCCCAGCCAAAGCTCGCCCTAATTCCAGGCAGCTGATAAAAAGCCCATTCTGAGCCAGGCTGCACGCTTCTTACAGAAGTCCGGGAGACGCGCGGAGAGGCGGCGGGGAAAAGTTCTGCCCGCGCGGCA